TACATCAGGATATATAAAAATCTTTGAATGTCAGCAGTAAGAAGATAAAGTTAGCAAGTGCTTGAGCCTTGACTCCGAAAAGCTTCTGAAAGGGATTAAATAAGGTTCAGCTTGGACAGAATTAGTTTCAGCGAGAAGTAAAACAGAGGAGCAAAGTGATGAAAATGCAGCAATTAATAGATAATCAAACATTCACTTATTATGAAACCAAATAATAAAACAGAGCTTCAAAATGACCAAATGAGGACAGAAAAACAGCTTGTACATAATTCCTGTTGCAAAGAATATGAAATCAAATGGGAAAGAAATGCGACACACGTGGGAGGGTGTGTGACAATGTGTGCGTGACGTTCATGGTACAGTTGAATTATTTGCAGTATGGTTCATTACTCAGGGCTTTGTCTGAAACAGCCGTGAGATGCTAATTCCTTTCTTCAGCGAATGTAATTATCCCACAGTGGACAACATAAGAACATGAACAACATGATCAACTTTGAACCGAGCCATATTTTAAAGCTCTGTCTAATTAAGCATAGCAAATCTTTTCTTGGAGAGTACTAAATTATTGTTAATTATTTTCTCAAATTACAACCGACTTAATGAACCCCTGTCAGATTCTCGAGTGCACACACATACACTCTGCCACAAATGATCAAATCTGACTTATTTGTATTTATTTATGTTCTTTATTTTTATTTTATTATTATTTTGTTTATTTGTTTCATGTTAGTGTTTCTCTCTTCATAGTTTTTTGTTTTTTGGACCAGGGGAGGGTTTGGGGGAGGGAGAAGATGTTAAAGAAAATTAAAATAAGCCTTTAATGTTAATTAATGTGAATAAAATAAAAAAAAATAAAAAGATCAAATCAATTGTGACCCTTCCTGCACATAAGAGAAAGATCACTCAGATCTAAATAGACTGCTAATGTGGTCCTTAAAGCTGCTTTCAGACCTGCACTTACCTCCAGGCGTTCTGCTGAAATTCTCCAGAGAAGCTTTGATGCAAACGTCTACAACCAGTTGCTCCGCACATGTTTTGGAAATTCCGCTCATAAAACATAACATCAGACTGAGCTCGTGTGAGAATACAGCAGAAAAATTCCCACGTCATCTTGGAGAGACAATGAAATTCAAGAGCTTCACTTCTTTTATGTGTCTTTGTCGGTGTTTGACTGACTTTCCAACATTAAATCTAAACAGTCACTCAGCCCCTGACGCCTTGAGGCCCCTGAGCCTGTGTCTCGTCGACCCACGCATTCACTTCCATGTTTACCATTTAAGAAAATCTAAACTGTACATTCTAAACTTAACCTATGAAATGATTGTATAACAGATGATGTTTATTACTTTCTCTCTTGCAATTCGAACATTTTGGTGATTTTACAACTCAAGCAGTCTAGCTATGTCTAATTCTTATTCATCTTATTAAAAGTAACATTAGCTCTGATGTAGTTGAAGTCTTATGTTACTCTACATGTTACTATTCGCCTCCAGATTTTAGTTATCCATTGTCTCTTTATTTACAGCTGGGAAGCACCTGGACCAGAGCAGCATTACATTATTCTGTTCATAACAGTATCTGAGCATCTCACCCTTGAGATGATATCAGAGGAAAATGGCCGCTGTGTGAACACAGTCTGTATTTGAGCATTACCCAAGCGGAACGAGATGCAGAGACCACGTCAGGTTGAAGAAAATAACATCAAAAACATTTTGGACTGTTTTGTGCAGCTCATCCTTGTGGCCTCTGGTAACACAAGATAAAGACTCTACTTCAGGCATGATGCTGTATTTTACAGAAGCCTTGAAGAGAAAATGTGTTCCATATATATTTGCGAGGCGGTACAGTGCTATGGTGCACTGTTGCCTCGTAGCGAGAAGGTTGCTGGTCTGAAACCTGGTTCAGCTGGGGTCTCTCTGTATGTTCTCAGTGTTCGTGTGGGTAAAAGAAAATATAATCAGGTGTTCTTTTGTGATCTTAATAATTATTCATGAAGGGGAATGCAAAGAATCTTTTCATATCTGATTCACAGGTAATAATTAACTTATACTCTGATTTTGCCTTTTCTCTCCCTTGTTTCATTTCATTTAACTGAGCTGCAGCTGTGAGGCTGTGTAGAGGTGGTGCTTACTTTGATAATCTCCTGACATTTCTTCTGGAGTCTTATGCCATTGTTATCATATCATTCATTTCCCTGTATTGGCTCCCAGTTAAATCCAGTTTAAAATCCTTCTCCTTGCATAAAAAGCCCTTACAGGCCAAGCCCCACCACATCTCTAAAGAGCTTCTTGTATTAATTATCCTGACAGACAAAAATGCCTTTTTACTTGGGGTGCCAATAGTTGAATGGGCGTTGGAGCTTTCAGCTCCACTTGATGAACCAGCTCCCTATGTAGGTTCAGGTGGCCGACACCCTATCTCCATGTAGGTCAGGTTCAGTTGCCTCAGATCAGCCCTGAAGCATCTATTATGCAGCTGTTTACCTAAACTGAACTCCCATGATTAACTCCGCTTCTAACACACGAAAACAAATATCTCCCAGTGCAAAAGCGGTGACACACCTGCAGAAGACACAGATGAAGGTTTCAAGAGAGCCTGTGGGAATAAGAGCTGGGAGTATCAGAGTGGGACCTTCGCAGTGGAGTTAATATGCCACTTCCTGTCTCTGTCTGCTGCACCAGTTGCCACTTGGGACACAATCAGTTTCAGATATGTGCATTTTGCTTTAACTCTTCAGTTACGCTTCATGACATTTGGGTTAATAACTGATAAACACATAAATGGAGGTTTCTTATGCTTTTCCTCCCTCTGAGCAGAACAGTGTGATTCATCTTCTGGTCAAATAGCTTTCCCTGACTTCATCAATTGGCTGATAACTAGAGTGCAAATAGTTTTTTTCACTGCCTGTCACTTCAAACTGTCTTAAAATTTGAGGTTGTAAAAGTTAAGACAACCACTCAGTATTTTGCAAAAGGAAATATGCCACAATTAATAATCCCAGTAACTCAGTATTTACTTAAGAAGGGACAGTCATCACCTACAAGATAGGATTTATTGATATTACAGACAAGGAACTTGCAGGTAAATTATTGCTCAGAACTGTGCTGGGAAGAGAATAATGGTTATAGGGAAACGGCACACTCTTTTCAATCAGTGTGTGTGTGTGTGTGTTTGTGTGTGTGTGTGTGTGTGTGTGTGTGTGTGTGTGTGTGTGCGTAAATGTGCTCATGTGAGCTAATTTAAACAGGAATTTTCTGAAACCAGCCAGAATTGGCACTGTAAACATTTCTGTCTTTTCAAATGACTCAGTGTGGTGTAGGTTTTACTCTTGTTGTGGGGACCTTAACCTTTTGCACAGACAAATTAAAGGAGATTCTTTACTATCGTGACAAAAAAGTCCCCGTATCATTTTTAGATCTGTCATGATGTCAGTTTAATTATGATATAATAAATGTATAATAGAAAGTCAATGTAACTTCATCTTAGTTGTAAAAACACAGCTGTGTGTGAGTGTGTGTATGTAAGAGGCACACCTTGCGCTCATAACATGTAGCTGAGTGCTGCTTTCACATTTCCCCTGACCTAATATGAAAAGAGGAACATACTCTGTTACATCAAAGTATTTTGGCTATGGCATATTTATAACCTTCACAGGATAGAATTACCTCCTGTCAGTGTAGTTCAAGTATCAGTGCTTGTGAATGACAGCTCCTCTAACAAATTGTTCGTCATCCTGTCATTACTGGCATTACTTCAGCTTTGTCTGCGGTCTGCGTGTTTGTATGTGTGAACATGGACGAAATAACTTACATAATACACACAGAGAGACTTTCATCATTGGTGGGAATAATACTTGAGAGTGCATCTCAAATTATTAACATTTGGAGCTGCTCGGTCAAAGGTCTAGTTCAACAAAAATAAAGTCTAAAAAACACATTTCCCAAGTTCATATATGATGTGATCAGTCATGAAGAAGTCACCAAAAAGTAAGAAAAAGCCATCATTGATAATTCAAAAATGCATTTTTCCAGGTATCTCTGCTTCCTATATAAGACTGTAAATATGCATGAGCTTAATCTTTTATAGATTGAAAAATATTTTCTGATCATTTGACATCATCAAGGCATCGCTGTGGAGTCTGAAAATGGCATCAAATATTGTAGCAATTGATTCATTTTATGAACAGATAAGATCTGTCTCTCTGACTGTGACTGGCAGCCCAGTGCTGCAGTGATTTGTGGCGAGTGGTAAATGCGCTGTATTCATATATGTAGCATTTTTCTAGTCTTGACCACTCAACACACTTCACGGTACAGTTTTTGCCACTGGGATGGAACTGCCAACCCTCGGGTTAGTGGACGACCTGCTCTCCCTCCTGATCCGCAGCTGCTGTGTCACCTCAAGGCAATAAAGTTCTAGGTTCAAAGGAGCCTTTCTTTGTGGAGTTGGCATGTTTGCATGCGTTCTCTCTGAATATCTACCACGGCTTCCTCCCACAGTCCAAACACATGCAGTTTAGGTTTAATGGAGTCTTTATATTGCTCATAGGATGTGAGTCTGAATGGCTGTTGGTTGTCGATCATCAAAGGATGAGCTGCGTAGCTGATGGATGCATGAACTTTATGGAAATTAAAAATCAGAACCCCCCCCCCCATGGATTCTACATTCATAAAATACTCTTGAATACATTTTAATGCAATTTAGATTTTATCGACCTATTTAGTGTCAGACATACATGTTGTGAGGCTGAACTGTGAACTCTTACAGACTGTGATGCAGAACATACCGTACAGCTTCTTCACCACACCCAACACATTTGGAAGTTGATTAAAAAAACTTCACTTGTCAAACTCCTCACAGATGCAGTTTACAAGGCTGCTCTGCAGAAGGTCCTCAAGTCCATCAGCAGGGAATTAGGATGAGCGAGTAATTATGAGCAGCATACAAACTTTTATTGTTTAGTTATTGTTAGGGATGATACAGTACATCAGAGAGAGGGTGTATGATATAGTTTATTTTTTATTGTTGATAAAGACAAAAAAAGGAAACAATATAATGTGTAAATATGTAATCTCTTCAACTCCATCACATTGATTGATCTTTTTTTTAAAGATAGAAAAAATATTTTTCAACTACTGTTTAACAATGTCAAATACATTTTTTTACTTGTTCCTTACAGTGCTTCACTGAAGCTACATTATTCAAATGCTTAAGTTAAATATTCCCAACATGCTCTATTTGATCATTCTGTTTTTAGATAAAATAACAGGGATCTAAAATATAGGTGCAAACAGTGCTGCACATCTGACTGACAGACCCATGGAGAGGTGTGTGGGGCTGAAAAGGGAAAGTATTTTACATTAATACATTTTAAAATCAAAAATGTTTCAATAAACAGGAGATAGATAGATATATCAGTATTTGTTTTGTAAACTGTCAGCGACAGCAGCTTTGATTGGCCTGTGGCTGAATTCTGAGCTGGTTCTGGGAGGCCAGGGCTGCTTTGCGGGTCATGGTGGTGCAGCGGGTTAGGATCTCTTCAGTCTTGGGTCTGGGCGGGACCCTCGGACCTCCCTCGCTGTCGTTGGAACCAATCGATCCAGAGCCCTCAGAGCTAATGCTGAAGCTGCGGCCATCTGACAGGCTGAGCTCAGGGCTACTGTGCCCACTGTCCTCTCTGTTAGGCTGCTGTGAGGCTGCAATGTGGCTAGTGGAGCTGTCCGAGAGGCTGGATCCGCTGCTCGAGGAGAAGTCGGAGAGGCTGGAGTCGGTGCTGGCGTTGCTCATGTTGCGCATGCGCCCGTCTGAGGTCAAGGCGTCCCTCTCTGTCTGTGACTGTGACAAGGTCTCAGAGAGGACATCCAGAGATTGGGCCTTGTGGAACCGCCCATGTGCAGGGGTCTCACCTCTGTACTGACGTGCAGAAACCCATTCTGGGTCGGTGCTGGGTGAATAAGAGGCCTGAGGCTCACTGCTGGTTGCCAGGCTTAGAGTGGAGCTGTGCAGCTTTCTCTGCAGGTTGAAAAGGCCTCTACGTGGGTTGTTGTATGGCTTCAGGTACATGGAGGGGATGTAACCTGCCTTGCCATTGAATCTGGACAGAGGATTGTAAGGAAAAGATAATTAATTATGAACCCTAAACCATAATGTAATGGTCTGTGGACTAAACAACAACTTCATTGTTGTGGGAATTAATTGATTGCATTGTACGTCAGCTGTATAGAAAATAAAAAGACATTGAGATGTTTTGTCAACTTTTTTCAATGTGTCCTAGTGAATTGTTGCAATGACAGACAAAATCGTAGGGATACCTGATGAGCCACCAGCCATTGTCAGACTTCCTCAGCACCTCCACCACAGAGCCAATGGGCACAGACACCTCATCATCCTTCTTAGTGGAGTAATTCTTCACCGCACAATACAGGGAACCTAAAAGTCACAAATTGTAGTTTTAAAAAAAAACCTGCCACAGTCTTTATTGAATGAGGACAAACACACAAATTGTCTTTAGAAAAGACAGAGCATAGATGTTTGATGGAGGAGAAGAAAAACAAGATACTTTCAATGGTTAAAAGGTTCTCCTTACTGTCGGCTCTTTGTAACAAGATCTCATGGGGATATGTCAAGTACTTAAAGTGTTAATTTCTCAAATGCTGAGAAGCAGTTGCGTGACATACTTCTAAATGTATGTAGAGTATGTTATGTATAAGTAGTAGTTAAGTATGTCACCCTGCCTCCAGCCATAGAGAGTTACACAGTCAATATCTCACCTCCCAGCTGGAATCTGGCATTGTCAACATCATCATCATCCTCCGCTTCCCAAAGGTCCAGATAGGGAGCAGGAAACCAAGCCAGGCGCTTCTCCTCGTTTTCCACCAGCCACCAGCCTGAAGAGAGACAGGTAGAAGCTCACAGTTCAGACAAGAATGTTTGATACCGGATAATAAGATGCCTTAATAAAATGGATTTTCAGTTCAATCACTCACCTGCAGGGTCTCTGATCAGTACATCCAGCTTCTCATCCACAGCGACCTTGAATGGTTTATTCTTGGTGTCCTTTGTCTCGTAGGCGGCCACACAGCGGTACGTTTGGGTGACTAGCGGGTGGGTGATACTGTCTGCATGCTGGCGAGTGGCATCACCTCCTCCACTACCGGATCCGTCAGGCAGATCATCAGACAGCAGGATCATGACACTGTGTGAGAGAGGGGGCACCTTCAGTCACTTCAGAACAATCTATTATGTGATAATCAGGAGATCCTGGAATGCAGTTAAACTGAATATGAAACCTGCACTGCAGCACAAGCTACCTGCTCTTGGTGAATTCAGGCTGCAGGTCATGGTCTTTGGGCATGAAGAACTGGATGACCTCTGAGCTCTGAGTCACAGTTTGGTCACACTTGAGCAGTTTGTCACAGTAACTCTCCAAAAACGTCATGCGCTGGATAGATCGCCTGGAACCTTTCTGCTGCAGGCTGCTCCTCCTGGCCTTTGCTGGAGAAAGGAAAAAAAAGGTTTAAAATAAATGCTTTTGCTGTGAGAGAGATGAACTTCCCAACTGTATATTTTCAAAGCATTCTCTTTTTAATAACTAAATATTATTTTTAAGACTTCTAAATCTTTGCAAACTTTTTCTCACAGCAAAAATAAAGACACATCACATCAGGATGCTATAAGGCCAAATCATGGCAGATTAAGAGTCTTAAGGTGATGAGGGAGATGATTGGGCCTCAGCAGATACTTGTACTAAATTAATTTTTAAAACTAATAACCTTACCTCGAAATTTGGGGATCACTCTGTCGTTTTTCCGAAAAGGGTTCATGTGAGGGAATCTCTTTTTCAGCTGCCTCTGTGGAAAAAAAGGTAAAATACATATTCATATAATATACTAATATTATATACTACAATACATTAACTACTTTTGACTTGTTGATTTTTCTTACATGAAATGTCTTGAAATCCTGGAAAGATCTGTAGATTATCACCTCAGCCTCATCAGACCACAGCACAGATATCATGAACATCTGTGGAGTTCCAAAAAAAAAGATTTGTATCAAATTGTAACAGATTCATTATGAAATTATCAGCTGAAATAAAATAAATTATTATTTAACTCACCTTGAGTTTTGGTGTGTCCCTGTGGACGGCTCCGATGATGCGGGCACTGAATACAAAGCGCTGATCCCCAGTCATCGTGTGAGTGTTCTGGTCTCAGCTTGCAGGATGAAGAGGTTTTTTTACTAGACCACTGATCTCCTGTCAACCTGCAGCCTCCTGCGGTTAATATATGCTCCACAGAGAGGGGGCGGGGCTGGAGGAGGCGGTCGTAAGACACCTGATGCCTGCAGCATCCAAAGAGGTGTGTCCTACACAAGCATCTGTACTGTGAGTGTGGGAGGTTTTATTGCACACACACAGTGTTCATCACAGATTGCAGGGGGGAATGCTGTAAATCTGGAAAAAGTCCCAGATGAATAGCCTACGGTAGAAACATGTGCAAACCAAAAAAGATTTTGTGTTAATGCCTGTGGCACTGTTTATATAACATATATGTATGTCCTCATTGCTGGAAAGAACAGTATGCATCAGCTACTCAGATGCTGCTGACTAGCTGGTCTCTGCTTTTGTTATGTATGAGTTGGTTCCGGCTGGAAAAGCTGGTTAAGTAGATCTTCAATGTTTTTTTAGCAGGGCAGTGGTGCTGTAATCTATCTTTACCTCAGTGCATACCTTCAGGTGAAGCTGCGGGGTTATTATGACTGCTATCGAGGTGCATCACCGAAAACTGGCGGTTGGTGACAGAAGCTCTGAATATTTTCTCAGCCAAGTATCCTTCAGATAGAAACCTTCCTGGAACCCTCATGTATGTCAATTGGAATAATTTGACATATAGCCTATGTTTTCCCACTTTACAGATACTTGATATACTTTCTCTAAGGCTGAACAGTCCCCACCGCAACAATAATTTTTTATCAATTATAATAAAATCTCAGATTTCAAGGTAATAATGCAATATAAGGAACAATTTGAGATTCTCAGGAAAAACATCAAGCAAGGCTAAAGGACACAAAATCCACCCCCCAGCCCCTCTGAGAATGTGTCAACATAGAAAACAGTTTTGGTGACAGACTTTTCAGGCTTTTCACGTATATCTTGAATGGAATAGAGAGGTGTATGATGTTTTCTGGCTTGTTGTCCTTTATGAAACTTTCAGTTTCCCCCTTGAAGGATAAATATAGTTTCTTAAATCGTATAATTTTGTAGTGGAGCATATCATATCTTATTGTATTGCTTCATAGCATATCGTATTGTATCACGGCTTATTATTTACTTGCAGCATTCACGCACATTTTCTATATATTGCCATCAGCCACCCAATATATTGTGACAGTGCACATGGACTGCGTGTGTGTGAGCGGCTGAGGAGTTGAGATCCAGGCATGCAGGTGAATTGCCACGAGCCACTAACCACGCCCACTTACAAAAAGACTGGGGAATAACCACCAAGGACGGGAAAAGGATAATACACAGAGGGAAAGGTGGGGGTGAGTGGAACGTCATTAATTCCACAGCAACCAGTAATTACATTCCAATTAGCTTATGGTTTCTCTTACTCTTGGCAAATTACTGAATAAGTTCCCAGAATGTTAGATTTAATTAACATGGTAGAAGTATAATACAGGTAAATGTGTAAAGGTTTGATTTGATGTACCAGTCTAACAATATCACAATATCAGCTGCTCCTTCCTGGTATGTGATGCCTCCATAATTCCCATAACCAAAACTGTATTGCACGTGCGGTCACTTGACACTTGTCATCTGGCGGCAATATCCCTTATCAGCAACTGGTGTGGAGAGCTGTGTGTGTGTTCATGTGTGTATGTGACTAAATAAAGGTGTGCATGTTGTGGGAGCGAGCAGGTGTGTCTTCAAAGTGAGGACTGCATGAGAGGGCCAGAGTCAGAGGGGGTTATCCCAGCCACTCATCAGATGGATGTGGATGCAGAGTCCTCGTCTGAAGTGATGCCAAGATATATTATACACACAAACACACACAGTGTTATGATGTAAAAGGTCACTGTCCAGTTTTGTTTATGTCCTGAGAAGATGTCAGCACCTGAGTCTGAAGCCACGTGAGGTTTTCCCCATTTTCAGAATTTTTGTCCATCTGAGAGGCACGTGTGCAGGTGCATGAGATCTGCCTCACTGTCTGTAGGAGCAAAACACTGAAAGTCTTTCATGGACTCAGTCACACAATTACTAGCTCACACAAATGACTTCATATAAAGATGGACAACACAGCTCCACTTCATCCATTTGTTAAAAAATGATGCCAAAATATTTTGCATTTATGTGCCACCATTTTTAAACTAATTATTATTATCAGTCAATAGGGGGAAATCAGTCAAAGGGAGAAAGACCCTAATGTGTTATCTATGGCTCAGATTGCAGGGCAGGGAGGGGTTCGATACACACAGCCACTGCAGAGAGGTGGGGGGAGGAGTAAAGACGAATCAGTGACAACATCAATGCACAACCAGAACCAGTGTGGTATCAGTCGACCCACACACCCTTCTTTCACAAGTCATCAGGTGGAAATCAGTACCGCTCTAAATATTGTCAACCTTTAAAAGGAAAGGTTTTCACCATGGGTGTTGCTTGCATTACATCAATGGAACCTGTTTCTAAACCAGTCCACACCTATCTTTAACATCACTCTCTGGAACATGTGACTCTTAATTTTCCTTTAACTCACCAGTACATCTCAAAGGATGCTCTATATGCTCTGAATGCTGTGATCCACTGCGCTCCTCGAGGGTTATTTTTAGAGCCTCCGGATGATTCAGGGGACTCAAATGTTACAACAATCAAATATATATTTCTGGCCCGTTCAGTCTCACATACTCTCTAATTTGTTGGCACTGAATACAATTCAAACATTGGCTAAAGTTGCAGCGGCACCAGCAGGAGGAAGCCCACACGCATGTTTCGGCCCTGAAGGCTGCGCAGCGGCTGTGAATCTGTCTGAGCAGAGACAATTGTTTTTCACTTCGTTATCTGCTCCATATATTCCGGTAACAATTCCTCCTGCGTTTCAACCCTGTGATTTGGTTGCAATGGCACAGAGACTCAAGTTTCACACTCACATACATGATAATTGTCAGGTCTTTCAAGTTTCCTCTCTGCTGAGAGTGAACAGCATAGCTGAATCTGTTCCATAGGCGAGTAATTACTGTACACTCTGTGCAGATATATATGCTATGAGCATCATGTTCATAGGATCCAAGGTCCTCATAATCACCTCTTTGAGTCGGCATTGATTAAGTAGGGCAGGTACAGGACGTACCGGCAGAATCAAATAACCCCCCTAATGCAATGTGTTCCATCACATCGTTCAGCAGGCGTCTATTTCACTGACACAGATGATGAATCCTCTGACAGCCACATTCATCACAGCGTTGTTACGTCTCATTTAAATAAAGAGAGAATGCTGTCTGAAAACTGTGTGTTTCTATCATGAGATCGAGCTTGTGTGAGAAATATAATCAGTGTGATTTCTTTCTAATATTGTTTCCCTTATTGTGGTTTTTCATCTTTTTAACTTATTATTAATTGACTATAACACAATTAGGTTCAGTGTGATCTTGGAAAGATTACATTTCTCACTATATGATGGAACTGAACATATGATCCATTATTGAAGTGAACTATGGAATGAATTCATGAATGATTACAATAGATATTTTGGTTCCTTATTATATTTAGAGTTTCTTTTAGTCGTTCAAGTTTTGTGTTCTAAATCATGATGTTATCCATTTGAATAATGCATTTTACTCATTTGTTTTTCATTTATCTTCACAAGTAAGGATACTGAATTTCTTTTCTTTTCTTACTTTTGATATTTGAGTGTTCACATATGTATCCTTTCTAATTTGGATCTATTTTGATGTACTTTAAAGAGGATTCCTCGCTTTAGCTAGATTGTGAGTGCAGTCTGGGGTTTCCTCAGACAAATGATTTCATGTTTTCCAGCTTGGAGAACTTAACTGGGCATGGGGGTGAGATGTTTCCCTGGTGGCGTGTGCCTCTGTTGACTCACATCAGGGTCTCACAGTTGTTGGGACTCTTCTGGTGCAGCAGCTTATTTTAAGCTGTCTCTGGATGTGGCTCACTGGGCACATGTAGTTGATTAACTGATGTTTAAAGACATGTTTAACCATGCGGACACATAGGAAATGGTTCCAGCAACTGTTGCAGTTTGTTATTGGTCTTCTTGACATAGAGCGATGGATACATATGTATTCATGTTGTGGCTTTTGTCATAACTTTCATCTGCAGTTTGTACGTGCACAGTCCTCAGGGCATTGCCACAGATGACTCATGGAGATGATTTATAGACTCATAGATTTTTGTGAGGATCAGCTCAGAATTGATCCATGCAAAGGATCTATTTGTATGGGATTAACTGACAGAGCCTGTCTGTGGAACAGAAAATGCACCAGGATTTTTCGCATAGCCCCACACAGCCTGGCTCACAATCACCTCTTTGTTTAGGCAGCTTTGAAACCATCAATTGAAAAGTCACTTAGCAGAATAGGTGTGGCTACTGTACCTGTCATTTGCCTCTACCTGCCACGGCACATACGGGAATATGAATGTCACCATGATGGAAAATTCACAGTTTAAAATAAGAATGTTTACCTGGCTGGAAATGAAAGCAAAAATATCTATTTCCTTTTATGTAATTTGGAAGTGTTTGTATTCCTTTATCAGAGCAAATCAAACTTGGGTTTTCAGATTACGAGGAACTGAGAGTGGTGGATCAAGAAAAAACAAACTAAACACCAGCCAAACACATGAGAATGTGACATAAAGCACAGTTTACAGTCACTTACCAAAACCTTCTTATTCTCCAGGAGGCACGGTAAAAGAAATGTGCAGACATTTTAATGGATTTTAATAACTTGTTTGTTAGTAGTAGAACATTTAAAACCTCTGGAAGATTCTAGAGTAGTCAGGGAAGAACCTTTTATATTTTGGAGTGGATCCAGATTTTTTTTTCACTTTCATGTACATTTAGGAAACTGATTTTTGGAAGTGTGTAAAATGTGGTTAAAAATGTGACTAAATAAATACATTAGAATAGTCCTCAGTAGGCTGCAAACCACATATGTTTCCCTGACCCATACATTCTTCCACTAAGTTTCATGGTGATAGTTTTTGAATTACAAACAA